AAAGATGGGAAAGAAACCCAAAAAAATGGGAAAGAAACCCAAAAATAGGAAAGAAACCCAAAAAATGGGGAAAAAAAAACAAAAGAGGGAAAAAAGCCAAAAAAATGAGGAAAAAAACCCAAAAAAGGGGAAAAAAGCCTCAAAACAGGGGGGAAAAAAAGGGGGAAAAAAACAAAAATGGGGGGAAAAATCCCAAAAACCGGGGAAAAATCCCATTTTCTGTACAAAAATATAAGCAGCAGGCAAGCGGGGTTAAACCTGACCGTGAAGGCTGCACAGAAAAAAATAAACACCCGTTTTTTCGGCTTTTTGCCCCGCTATGGTGGCACATTCCCAATTTTGCTCCCAAAAAGCAATTTCTACCACAATTTTCCTGCTTTAAAAGCACCTGGTTCTTCCTCGTGTCCATCCTCAACGGCAAGAGCCAAGCTTGGTCTTCTGAAAGTATTCCAATATTTTTCCAATATTTTAATTTTTTAAGGGGGGTTGGTTAAAAAAATCCAATTTTTCGTTGTAAATCTGTTAATTCACTGGATACTCCTCAAATAAACCTGTTTTGTTGCTGTTTTCTTAAGAAAACAGAAAAAAAGTTCTTAAGAACTTTTTATTTCTGGGATCTTCTTGGAGTCTAGGGAATACTGGGAACACTGGGATGTGAATGGGGGAGTCTGGAGCCGGGGATGGGGAATATTGGGAATACTGGGAGGGAGGATACAGCACCGTGGATTGGGAATAATGGGAATATCGGGTTGAGGGGTTGAAGATATTGGGATGGGGAGTGTGGCCCCGTGGCTGGGGAAACTGGGGAGCACTGGGAATGTTGGGATGGGAGAGTTGGAAAGTATCATGATCATTGGGATGGGGAGCATGGCCCCATGAATGGGGGATGAAGAACACTGGGAGCACTGGGAATGTTGGGAGGGGAGAGTTGGGAAGTACTGGAATAGGGGTTGGTCCCATGAATGGGGGATGAGGGATGCTGGGAGCACTGGGAACGTTGAGATGGGAGAGTTGGGAAGTACTGGGATCACTGGGATGGGGACTGGCCCCATGGCTGGGGAAACTGGGGAGCACTGGGAACGTTGGGGTGGGAGAGTCAGGAAGTACTGGGATCACTGGGATGGGGGTTGGCCCCGTGGATGGGGGATGAGGGACACTGGGAGCACTGGGGACACTGGGAATTGGTTATTGGGGGGCACCTTGGCTCAGTTGTGGGGAGAATCTATGGGGAGGGGGTCTGGGCATCTGGGACCCCCTCCTCTCCATCCCCCCAAGAAGGAGACCTGGGCGTTTGGGACAGATTCCGTGCGTTTAATTGCCTCCTTTTAGCCCCAAATTATAGATATTGGTGAGAACCGCAGAGCTGCCGGGTGGGATCCAAGTGGGAATGTCGGGAATGGCTCAAATCCCCTCAGAAATGGCTCAGATTCCAGCAGATCCTCGTGCGAGGACCAGGTTGTTCCTCAGGGAAACGCTCGGAAACGAGCGGGATCCTCGGGGAAAYGCTGGGAATGGGAGAAATTCTTGGAGAAATGCTGGAAACGGGTTTGTGCAGAAGCAGCCGGAAACGGGGCAAATTCTTGTGGAAAACGACTGGAAATGGGTCGTTCCTTCCGGGAAATGTTGGAAACAGGTCAGATCGTCGAAGAAATGCTGGAAACGGGTCAACTCTTTGCGGAAATGCTGGAAATGGCCCAAATTCTTGGAGAAACGCTGGGAATGAGTTAGGTTCCTTCAAGAAACCCGAGAAAAYGAGCGGTTCCTCGGGGAACCCGGCTGAAAAAGGGGTCAGAAAACGGCTGCAAACGGGTCGTTCCGCAGCGAAACGCTGGGAACGGGTCGAATTCCTTAGGGAAAGCAGCTGGAAGCAGGATGTGCCCAAGGGAAAGGCCGGGAATGGGGCCGCAGGGTGGTGGACCTTCATTTCTGCCACGCGCAGCCTTCGCTGACGTGGGCCGCGGGTCTCTCCCCATCCTGAAGGTAGAGAAGGAGCTGTGTTGGGTGTTGAGGTCCAAGGGTGGAGGTCGGGGTGGAGGAYGAAGCTCTTGGGGGGGTTTCTGCATCATCCTCAGCCCCACCACCCTCTTAGACCTTCAGGACCCCGGTGTCCCTCCACCCTGSGCCACCTTATATCCCTCCACACCTCCTTTGTGGGACCTTTGAAGGATCCATGTTTTCTGGTGGCCCTCACATCTCCTGGGAGACCAAGGGGTCTGGGTTGCTCTCCCAAAGCTGATAGAGGACCTAGATACCCTAAAGGGACCTGGACATCCGTGGTGGTCACTGTACCGTCATGGAGGTGATGTTCACTGACGTCATCGTCACCTCCGTGGTGTCCGCTTTGGGGCTGAGGAGCCGTAGCCACTGCTGGTACTGCTCTGTCACCTGCGGCCACATGTGGTCCATGTCCTCCATGTCCTCCACAAACCCACCCAGCCACCCAAACCAGCCCCAAATTGACCCAACGTTCTCCCCATCAGCACCATGGGGATGGTGACCACCCCGAACGCRTGGGGCCCTACCTGCCGGTTGAGGAGGCAATGCACGACGTAGATGAAGACGCCTTGGAGGCTGTTGAGGCCGGTGAAGAGGAAGGCCACGACGGGGCTGCCGGAGCTGGTCTGCAGCAAGCCCAGGCCCCACGTGCAGCCCAGGATGACCACTTGGGCGAGCGCCTTGAACGTCAGTGTCCTGCGGAGGCCGGCGCTGCTGGGCCTGGACGGGGCTTTCGCCGCGTCTCGCCCAAGCCCATGGCCCTCAAACGGGTTTGAACTCGATGAAATTGGACCGACATAACCAAAATCGATCAAATTGAATCCAATCCAACCAAATCACATTGACCGAATCAAACTGGAACCAACCAAACCCAACCCAACCAAATCACATCGATTCAAATCAAACTGGAACCAACCCAACCCAACCAAATCACTTTGATTCGAATCAGCTTGGACTCAACCCAATCAAATCACATCTATTTGAATCAACCTGGACTCAACCCAACAAATCATTTTGATTCAAATCAACCTGGACTCAACCCAACCAAATCATTTCGATTCAAATCAACCTGGACTCAACCCAACAAATCATTTCGATTCAAATCAACTTGGACTCAACCTAACAAATCACTTTGATTCAAATCAACTTGGACTCAACCCAACAAATCACTTTGATTCGAATCAATCGTGGTCTCAACCCAACCAAATCGCATAGATTCAAAACAATTTGGACTCAACCCAACCAAACCACTTTGATTCGAATCAACCTGGTCTCAACCCAACCAAATCACTTTGATGCAAATCAACTTGGACTCCACCCAACCAAACTCAACCCAACTGCGCCCAACTGAACCACAGTGATCCAAATTAAACTGAATCCAACCCAACTGAACTCAACTGAGCCCAGCTAAATCACACTGATTTGAATCAAACTAGAGGCAAACGAGCCCTACGCAACCCAACTGAACCCAGCCCAGCTGAACCCAACCAAATTGCCCAACCTGACTGAGCCCAACCAAATCACATTGACCCAAATGAAACCAAATCCACCTCAACTGAACCCAACCAAATTGCATTGAACCCAATCAAACCGAACCCAGCTAAACCGAACTGCTGTTTCCTCCCCTTCACTAAGGCAAGAGAACCTGCAGCAACGGCCCCGATGGAGAAACCTGCTAGACCCACCTGGTGCTTTTGAGGGAGGAGACGTCCTTGTTGAGGGTGGAGAGCTTCTCCTGCAGGATCCAGAGGGTGGTGAGATAAAACACCAGGTTAACCTGGGGAGAAAAGGCTGCTTAGGGAGGCTGTTGTTGCTGTCTTGCTGGTGGACGGGTGCCCACAAACATGACGCCAACCCGGAATCCACCAGCTCCTCCATGACCACCTTCCTGAGGTCCAAGAGAGAAGAAAGGGAAAGACCCACCAGGATGATGGCGCAGACGGGGCCGATGAAGCTCCACACGAATCCTCCCTTGGTGGTCAGCCAGCAGCTGAAAGACAAGGAGAAGAAGATCCCTCCAAGTCCAAACACCGTAGCGATGGTACCAAGAACCGGGATAAAGATGGAAGAAAAATGTGGACCGAGGAAGAGGAAGGTGGGTCCAAGCTGCCACTTACTGCTTGCTGGTCCCGTAGCCACCGGGATTGATGGCGACGGAGATGGCCACCACCAAGGCGGGCAGGCCGTAGCCCGTGGGGTAGATGTACCGCTTCTTGAAGCGGTTGGYGCTGGTATAGTTGACCACGCGCAGGTTCTGGACGGTGAGGAAGAGGTGCAAGCCCTCCAGGAACATCCAGGTGAAGCAGGCGAGGAAGAGGTAGTGGAGGAGGCCAGCAATGATGGCGCACGCCAGCTGGGAGGGGAAACGGAGAGGGAGGCCGTCGTGGTCTCCTGGAAAGGGCCACCTCAACCAGGGACCTTGGGTACCCCTGAGGTCCCCATGCAGATGCCCAGAAAGGTGGTGGCATCTCTAGCCTGTGGGGCCTTGGGGAATCTCATGGGGTTGGATCCTTGTTGAGCTGGGCCGGAGACCCCCAAACGTCCCTCCAACCCCAGATACCACAAAATTTCACATCTTGAACCAACCCAGAGAGAAAAGAGACCCCAAAGCCTTGAGGAACCTCAAGTATTTCTACCCATGTTGAGTTGGCTGGGTCTGAAGACCCACAAATGTCCCTTAAACCCCAGATACCACAAATTTCCACAGCTTGAACCAACCTAGAAAGGGAAGAGACCCCAAAGCCTTGAGGAACCTCAAGTATTTCTACCCATGTTGAGCTGGGTGGGTCTGGAGATCCCCAAATATCCCTGTAACCCCAGATACCACAAATTTGAACCAATCTGGAAAGCGGAGAGACCCAACAGCCCTGAGGAACCTCAAGTATTTCTATCCATGTTGAGCTGGTTGGGTCTGAAGACCCACCAATGTCCCTTAAACCCCAGATACCACAAACTGGAACCAACCCAGAAAGAGAAGAGACCTCACAGCCTTGAGGAACCTCATGTGGTTGGACCCACAGCGAGTTGGGCTTGAGCCAGAGACCTCCAGACATCCCTGCAGTCCCTAACGTAATTCCCTGGACCCTCCTGGAGAGGGAAGGGACCTCAGAGGAGGGGCCAGAGAAGACCCAAGAGTTGGACRCCCTTGAGCCCTTGTCCCAAGGTGCACCACTACCTGATTCGCAACGCGCCGCATGGCCGCGAGGAAGAGGAGGTCGGCCGCGAAGAGGCAGGCGCTGAGCTGCAGGTGCAGGGCCACGCTGACGGTCCAGAGCGAGCGGCACAGGAGGAAGGTGAGGATGGCGAGGAAGAGGCAGAGCACGGACAGCGAGAGCCCCACGGCGGTGACGAGCTCCAGGGCGACGCTCCCCTGCGGCGCGCCGCCACCGTGAGACGCCTCGGTCCGGGTTGGGAAACCGCGGGAATGCCGGGACACCTTCTCTGGGGTTGGAAAATTGTGGGACACCTTCTCCCGGGATGGAAAATTGTGGGAGCGCCAGGACACCTTCTCCCGGGTTGGAAAACTGTGGGAGCGCCGGGACAGCTTCTCCCGGGTTGGAAAACCGTGGGACACCTTCTCCTGGGTTGGAAAACCATGGGAGAACCAGGACACCTTCTCTGGGGTTGGAAAATTGTGGGACACCTTCTCCCAGGTTGGAAAACTGTGGGAGCGCCGGGACAGCTTCTCCTGGGTTGGAAAA